GCCTGTGAACGTGAGGCTGCTCCTATCTGCGAATATCTCCTATCTTCGAGATCTGCGATAGATAGGAGATCTGCGAAGATCTCCTATCTTCCTATCCTATTCCTTCCTAATAAGGAATATAAGTTAAAGAGATGAATATTTTCACAAAGGCACAGAAAAATTTAACTAACCTAAGCTTAGTTACTGTATTTTGGCTTCAATAGAAAACATTAGCTCTAAAAATACTTGCTTTTTAGAGCAAAGCACATGAGGAAATGTGTTTGTGTATATGATGTATGTGTTGAAACTTTCTAAAGATTTAGTCCTTCGGAAGCAAATAGGGGCATGGGATCAGTTCTCTGCTTTCAGCTAACACATCGAGGTGGGAGGGCTAGGCAGGAGGTATGGGACTCCACTGGGAATCCCTAGCTGAGACATAATATCAGTAAGTGGCTCCTTTGGTCAAACTACACTTTGGAGAGGTTCCCTAGGAAATTCTTTATAGCATGGCTTAGAAATTCACGTGTCCAAACTGCTTTTTATGGTGTTCTTGCATGCTGGAAATGTCTTGTTGCGGGAAAAGAGTGACAAGGAATATAATTAGTCTCTGAGATAAGTGGTGCTAAAGAGTTTTGACCTGACTTGTCAATGTCTAATGGAGTTACCATCCTCATCCCATGTGCTCCATCTGCTGGGCATGCTGTCAGGTTAGCTTTGAATAGACACCCTGTTTATGTGAGGCAGCAGCTGGTGGCAACAATATATTGTGTTTCTGAGTGATTGCAGCTTTTCATCTGCGTTCGTGCTTCTGGAGAACACTTGATAGGCTTCTTTCCTCCTGGACTTAGGGGAGAAATGTAGTTGTTTAGAGCCTGGACACTTAGTATTGCTTTTCATGGGCCACAGAAATTTTATTTAGTGTAATGATCTTCTACTCAAGTGGTAAAAATTTTCTTGAGAAAATCATTATTACAGGTTTAATCCTATGAGGATTTATCAGGTGGAAAATTTGGGAGTGAAAGCAGATGGAACTTGTAACTTCACCAGAAAACACATTTGTTGGACAGGAGATAGATGCTTCTAATTGGCTTTATGTGCCCCAAGAGATGAGAGTGTTCAGTTTGTAAATCAAAATATAATTGAAAAAAACATAGTTTAAATTAAGATCTTTTTTTCATGAATGCTTCAATTTTATTTTATTTTTTAAACATATTTCTGTGGAACAACTGTGCTTATGACTATAAGTTGTTTCTATTTTAAAGCAAATTTTACTATTTTGTGACTGAGTAACTATCCAAAATGTGCAGAAATCTTGAACTGTTCCTCCTCCCCCTTCCCCAGCATGAGGTTAGCCTAAAATTAGTGGTATTTTAAAATAAATGCTGACTATTTTTATTTTTATCTGTCTTCTGGTATCCGTTACATTGTGCTTGCTCCCTACTTTTTAAGTTTTTCTGAGGACTGGAAATGTACGTTTTCATGCTTAGAATTTAAACGTGCTGAAGAGTGTTGGTAGATAACAGTTCACCACTGTTCCTGCCAAGATCATGGTGGCTTTACAGCAAAATAATCAATAAAATTAATGGTATCACAATCAGGGAGCTCTTGTTCTTCATGATACTATCTGAAATGTCCAAGAGCAGTTACTGTAGAGATCTCTGAGCAGTCCCTACACAGACAGAGCTTGCAGGGAATTCCCATCGTCCTAAGTGTGGTCTGTAACATAGGCTACCTTTGAAACTTAAAATCGCACAATTGTTCTCTTTCCTCTGTTAAATATATGATTTCTGGTTTAAGATTGATATGAGCTACTTCTTGGAAACTTAGATAAGGTATTTTCCTCACTTGAAAGGGATGCAGGGATTTTTCATCAATCAATTTTCTTTCTTTTTATGTGTGTGTATTTAGATGTAGGTGTTTTGTCAATGTCTTATCTCTCCTCCTTCTAAGAGCCTTTAAAACTTGTGCTCTGAGTAAGGATTGTGAAATGTTCAGTTAAACAGGATTCAGGTGGATTTGGGTGGAATGTATGTGCTTTCTTTCAAACTGCCAGAAATAAGAAACCTAATTTATTAGGTGTCTTTTACGTTTTCTGTGTGTTTAATGCAAAAGTTGTTTTGTTAACCACCTTAACTCCAGCTAAACCTACCCTCTGAACTCAGAGAGTGACAACGTGACTAGCTACATCTGCGTAGTCCCCTTTAAGGAGCTGGGTCTGGGACTGAGCGAAGAGCAGGTCTCTGAAGAGGAGGCACACAATCTCACCGATGGCTTCAGCTTGCCTGCGCTCAAGGTAACCTCCCCTAGAAGGACATACGCATCCACGCAGGCTCCTGGTGAAAATCTCTTTCAGTTGTCATGAAGCCCCATGGCTTGTATGTACTAGCCTGTAGTAACAGAGTCAGCTGAGAGGGAAATGCAGTCTGTCTCATATCATGTGTTTCTACATTTATAGGCATTTAGATTATTTCTCTTTTGCATGTAGTTGAAGAAAAGTCGCACAATACAACACTAGGATTTTTTTCTGCAAATCATGTAAATTCAAGTCAGTGTTTTATAATCAGCTTGATCAATCTCCTTCTTAAACGTGATTTTTTACTCTCTGATTTCACTTGATCCCAGATGAATAAAATAATTTCCGGATTTGTACTTACGTCTTTTTTAGCTCATCTCTTGACTTGAATAAAAGGAGAGACATCTGAAGATGTAAATAAGTTGTAATTGCAAAATGGAATAGCTGCATTTACTTACACCAAGGAGTAGAAATCATAAGCTTGGAGCGCTGCTGCTGTAAGCCAGTGGGGTTCTTTGGTCTTTGGAAAACTTTTAACTGAACAGAATGACAACCATATAGTGGCCTTTTTTGCTATTTTGTTTTTTATAAGTATTTTTAATGTACATGAGTAAATGTTTGCAATTGGAAAGAAGTTCGAGTTTGAATGTGAGCATTCTACTCTCTAGTGGTTCTCTGCTGAGGCAGTCCCCTTTAAACATTATTTTTAATGGAAAATTCCATTATTATGAGACTTGTGTGTTTTCATGGGGTTGGCTCTTGTTGCATTTTATTCACTTAATTCCTAAACCTTGACTTCTTTTGTTCTGACAGTAAATGTTGCCAGTAATAGTGTTTTCTAAGCTTTGAGGCTTTGTCTAATTAGTTGTAAGCTAAGAGCTACCTCAGATGTTAGCTTCTGAGATTTTCTTCTTGTGTTTTCATCAGCTGAAGTTCTAATTGCAACCGTGCAAGACCCCTTATTTACCCACTTCATTTTAAGCACAAGAAGCCAGTCAGAGGTGCCCAAGCTTGTAAGCTAAGTCTTTGTTTACCTGCAATTTGAAGTAATTTAACTGAAATCTGTTTTAGTTAAACTGGTTGGGATGTTTTCTGGGTACAGTTAAGCTCACAACTAGTAAATCTCAGTTTACCTTAACTGGTAACAGACAGCAACGTAGGATGGGTGTGGTGTAGTTGAACCAAGCTAAATTAGCATAACTCAATCCTAAGCAGATTCCTGTGTAGATAATAAAATAGCTATACTTCAATAAATTTGGGACAGATTTGGATTGCAAGTCCTGGATTTATGTGTAGTCCCCTTAATTTTTTTAATTTTTATTTTTTTTTAATTTGAGAGAACTTGTCTTTATATTAAAATACAGGTAGAATACAGATCTGTATTCAGATTTGGTTAATATTTTAATTTTCATTCAAGCCCAGGTCTAGGCCATATGACAGATGTAGCCTGTGTCTTTTGGCTACCTTGTCCTTGAACTAATTTTTGGCTTAAGAAAAAATACTGATTCAAGCTGAGGAGAACCAGCTGGATGTTTTGGGTGAAGATTAAATGTCAGTAAAAATCATCAGAAGTCATTGGCAGAGCAAGCTATTTGCAACCCTAAATACAGATGGAATTTCCTTTTCTCTCATTGCTGTGCCTTTTTTCAGGTACTTTTTGGATTATTATTTTCAGTTCCTGAAGTTCACTACTTTTATGTGCTACTTCTTCACTGCTTTTGCCCTATGTCTGGAGGAAGGGGTTGGTCTTCTCTGTGTTTATTATAGCATGAGCTCTTGACTTTCTGTCCAGGGCACCACACCTTCAGGGACACTTGGGTGATTGCTGCCCATTTGTTTGCACCCAGACAAATCACAATCTTGCGTGTGTGCCCCAAATTAATTTGATATTATTCTATGTTCTTTCTTCTCATAACGATCTAGAATGTTTTTTGTTGAAATACAGTGCAGTTAGACTCACATTTCAAGGCTGGGTGTGGGGCAATGCAGTAGTTAGTAGATCACAGAAATGATAGCTTAGCATTACAAAGGAAAAAATGTTTCTGCTGCCACTGGAATTTTGGCAGCCCTTTATGAGCTGTAGCATATGTGGAGATTATAGCAAGTAATGAAACTGCCTGATGAGAATATGAGTTTTTAGGTCTCTGACAACCTTCTGAGCATAATTGCATATAATATCCTTCACTGAAGAATTAAGAGTCACCTAAGGTTTGCAAGATCTGAACTTCACATGGCCTGGCATACACTCACTGACTTTTCTCAGTCTTTCAGAGTTCCTATTGCTGGTCGAGGAGTGTTTTTCCATGATGTATCTGTACATTTACTTTGGAGGCTGGCTGTTTTCCAAGTGTGCACAGCTAACCCTAGCCTATTTTGCAGGTCCTCTTTCAGCTCTGGGTAGGGCAGAGTTCAGAATTCTTCAGGAGGCTGGTGCTGCTCCTCTCTCCAGCCAATGCGTCCCCCAAGCCCTTGGTCTCTCCCGAACGGCTGCCTCATCATATCTTGTCTGATGTGACTCAAGGCCTACCTCACACCCATGCTGCCTGCTTAGAGGAGCTTAAGCGAAGCTATGAGTTTTATCGGTACTTTGAAACCCAGCATCAGTCAGGTTTTGAACGGCCAGCCAGATCAAAGCAGAAGTCAAGAGAGCTGAACAGTCTTCAGACAGCAGTACGCAGCTTGCAGCTTCATCTCAAGGCACTGCTCAATGAGTAAGTTTACACATGAATTAAGAGAATATGCCTGTAGGAAGAAGGCTTCAGACTTGAGTTCTTTGGGTTGTCAGCGTGTATCCCAGATAAAAAAAATCAAAAAAGGCAGATTCCTATAGTCATTGCAATCATCCGCATGTCTTCACATAGTGTGGGGTCAAAGATCCTTGGTTCAGTGTAGAATCTGATATTGTTTCCTGGTTATTCTTTAAGTCTCTGGTGAAAATTCAAAGTTAAGCAGCGCAGTAAGATCTTGCCTTGCTTTTGTCACTCCCTTGAAAAAATCTGAAAACTTACTTATCTTTCATTGACTTTGCAACATACCAAATGCTTTGTAAGAAAGTTCAGCTCATAGTAACTACCTAGTAAATATTTTTAAGGATTTGTCACTGCCTTGGTGAAATAGTTGAAACTGTCCTACTCCTTTAATCTCACATACAAGAATTGCTATAATGAAGGCAGGAGAGCCGTGTATCTTGACATGGAGAATAGGATCTTATTTTTTTTAATTTTGGGGCATCTTTGAGTTGGCTGAGTTAGATTCTTAAAACTTGGAGAGAATAACGGGTTATTAAATGAAATACTTGAAGGAATGGTGAAGTCAAATATTTATTATTACTTATTTCTGTTAATCTCCTCATCATTTAGGGTAATAATTCTTGAGGATGAACTTGAAAAACTTGTTAGCACTAAGGAGACACCTGAGTTGACAACAGAAGCCCATGAGGTTCTGGAACAAAAACTAAAGTTTATTCAGCCTCATATCCAGGCCAGCAACAGCTGTTGGGAAGAAGCCATTTCTCAGGTGGAAAAAATGAGTGGAAGAAACCCAAATAAAAAAGGTGAGAGATTAATTTAGCAGCTAATGGGATACATGTTACAGGTGGAATGGTCAAATGGATCAAAGACAGCATTCAGCCCATGTATCAGAATTTTACCTGAAGACAACCATACACTTTCAAAAACTAAGTACTTATGTCAAACTTTTTCATTGTAATGAACAAGCTTTTGTTTCAGCAAAGAATGTAAACATCTTCACTCAGTCTGTTAGACCTGTGGATTCAGATTGTTACGTTTCCAGGTGTAGAGCAATAGTGGTTTTTTGCCTTTAACTGTTGAATCACATGTGAAGGGGCAGGATTTTTCAAGAATTGTCTCTGAGATTTTCATTTCTTTACTGCATGAGAATCACATAGTTAATTGGAATGACAATGGCATTGTCATTAAACTTTCTTGACAATGACATTTCCTGGAACATTTTAAATTGTAGCGGATGTATTGAGCATTTAATAGCTGTTTACCTGCTCTCTCAGAGAGACTGAAATAATCTTCTATGTGCTTAAAAGTCCTACTGAGCAGCATATCCCAAAGTTTTCCCTTATGTCCCTCTCCTTAATGACCTGTACTGCCCGTGTTGTTCTTGTGAATCACAACTAGCTTAAACATGGAAGTAAACTTAGGGTCTCCTGATGCAGATTTGAACCTATAATTTGTAATAATTCTTTTTTTCAGGAGCTTTTTTTTACTGTCCTAGGAAGGCACAGCCCAGCATCTGAAAAATGCTGGTAATGGAGACTGCATTAGGAAAACTATGACTTGATATAATGATATATGGGTGGGATATCCAGTAGATGGTTGAACATTGCTGTGGGCCCAAAGGCTTGCAAACTGACCTTGTTCGTGCTTACATCAGAACTGGGAGCACTGGGAGGCCTAATGCAGGCTCCGTGCAGGTCCTGACATGGTCTAACCAAATTTGTGTGTACTGTGCCTGATAGTCCAGTCTTACAACTTTCCTCTCAGTGCTGTGTAAAACAGCCCATGAGGATATTAGGTGTAGTCTGATACATTTGCATGTGCTAGCCTGTTGTGTTTTGTTGATGCCCTCCACAACTAGCAGTTCCACTGATTTTTTTTTTTTCCTTTCCTTAAATGTTCTTTCTAGACTGCATGCCTTAGTATTTTTAGTTATTTTAGTTTTATTTTTACTTTGTGTATAAATATCACAGCAGGCACTTTTATTATAACTTGCTTCCTTTTAAAGTTCAGTACAAAAATAACCTCGTGTGTGATCTAGAAGGGGGGGGTTGCGTGGGAAATAAAAAATCCTTCACTTTCACTTTCCTGGAAATGTGCTGGGATTGAATCTCTGTTTTGCAACAAGTTTACTGAATTACTCCACAAGAGCTACTTTTAAATTATGTCAGTCACTGAAAACTATTTTTATCTGACTATAATTGACTTTCCTGATATACTTCTAAGCAGTCCAGCTTCTGTGAGTTGACCTTTTCAAGCTGTGCATGAAATCAAGTCTAATTCTTCTGCTGTCTTTCTACAAATCTTAACAGCTGGTCTGTCAGTCATAATTATGTAAATTGCTTCATTAAATTATCTCAGGTCTTTTTCAATGCTTCCTGAGATATCTTTGGAAGAAGGTACCTTCCTG